GGATGTTTTTCTTTTACTTAGCATTTTTGTTGTTGTTGTTGTTGCTGTATGTGGAATACTGGTTCAAAGGTTATCTGAAAATACATAAGATGATTTTTGTAATTGCACAAGAAAACAAACATACACAAATACATACATGCGCATACACACACACGCGCGTACGCACACACATGTACACACACACACACACACACACATATATATATATATATATATATATATATATATATATATATATATATATATATATATATATAGTCCAACATAGTTAAGGCCACGAAGATGTTGTTCCACAAAAGACTAATTAGAGATTTCCGTGGAGAGCCAACAAAACGAGCAACCCAGATGTTTTAAAAGATGCCTGGGCTCTATGAGAGTTTATCATAAATATCAGAGACAGCCATCCGTTTTTTTTTTTCATGCTATGAGAAAAAGGAAACTGGAAAACGTTGTGCCCACTTGAAAGATCTGTTGAAAAAATATAGATTATTAATAGCATTTTGTCATTTGATAGACTGGTGTCAACACATGAACTGATAAATGCGGTTGAAGATCGCAGATAGTGGAGAGACATGATTGCCCACGGAAGTCTACAAGGCCCTCTCTCTCTCTCTCTCTCTCTCTCTCTCTCTCTATATATATATATATATATATATATATATATATATATATATATATATATATATAAAATAGATATTAATTGGCTCACAAACATATACTATAAGAGATATTTTCCAATACACGCCTTTTATTTGTGTTGTAAACCATCCATAAAAAACAAGGCATTGGAACAGAATAAAAAACACATTGCTTACAAGGAATTGAACCTCATAGTAATCCACAGCTAGCAGGGTGGCACGGGCAGCCCCTGCCGAACATGAAATCACTATTTATACCCCCAGAGCTGTCTCCACATTCAGCATTGATAAAACGTATCTCAATATAAGCTATCATTTATGCTAGTGTAAGTAACTACGCGGCTGTTGTGTTAGCGATAAGGGATATCGGAAATCTAGTCCACATAACAGAGTGTATGTATGACATTAAAAAAAATGTTAGGATGATGAAAGGGGCATATAGGACCCTACTTTCGCTAATGTTAAATTACGAGGGGTGCTCCGAAATAGTTAATATAAAGGAGAATTAGAATAAATTCCGATCATGGGCTCTGTTGTCCTAATTTTGAGGAGAGAAAATAGAAAAGACCCAATCTATCCCAACAAGCCTCTCGTTAAAAGACAATTAAATTGTGTTTCCTTAAAATCGAATTTCTTGGGCAGAAAGGTGCAGAAATGAAGGTCCTAGTTGTAAACCAAAACATACCATGCCAACCGCCTGTCAAAGGGCAAAAAAGAATAAGAATAAATAGAAGGAAGAAGAGAATGAGGAGGACGAGAAGGAGGAGAAAAAGAAAGAAAACAGAGGAAGACGTTAGTTAGCCAGTTAGCTAGTTAGTTAGTTAGTTAGTTAGTTAGTTAGTTAGTTAGTTAGTTAGTTAGTTAGTTAGTTAGTTAGTTAGTTAGTTAGTTAGTTAGTTAGTTAGTTAGTTAGTTAGTTAGTTAGTTAGTCGTTAATGTTCCGGCATCACAGAAAACGAGCTTGGCCCATAATTGCTCAACCGCCTATGCCAGTGATTCCAGTCACAAACTGAGTCAGATACGATGGATACTTCAAGTGAATGCCGTAGCCATACTAAGTGTCCTCAGTCAGCAAAACACACACGATTTGATCTAGCAAACCATGAGGTGCATACCTCCTTAAAAACACCGCGAGACCAGGCGTCATCACTTATAAACAACCCTATTTGACGAAAAGCTAGGCGGTGAGTAGATTTAAACTATTCCTGGCTATTCTCCACATGTCCTCAGCCAAACTGCAGCCACAGCCAGCAAATAAATAGCAGCTGTAGCACACGCCTTGCCCCAGAAAAACAAACACATCACCCATCATTGCTATTATGTACGAATCTGGAACTCAGTCAAAAACCGATAATCACAGCTCATAGTGTCGCAGCTTTGGCTGCAAACCGGACTTCAACAATCTTGCAACATCGAAACTGGAGGAGAAATGGTGACGAAAACGGTCAGCATAAGACAAGTTCTCAACCGTCATACATTCCTTAACAATGTCGAAACCGGAAGTCCAGAGGAAGATGTCCGAAAGGGGACGACCAGCTATAGAATGCAACCATAACATTATCGTAAACCAAACAAACTATGGGCTATTACTGAGGATTATTGGATACAATGACATTTGCTGGATAACATCATGGCCATGTACGACACTTCTCAAAGCACACCGAGATCGCAAGTAGGCACATCTGATGTGTTTACACTCAATACAGGCGGGATGTGTGCCCTCTACTCATTTTTTTTTAAATGTTAAGTTAAAGTCGGGAGATGGGAACCAGCGTTACTGCACACGGTTATAAACCATAAGTGCTCTGCCACTAGAACAGATAGCTGATAAGAAACGATCCGCCTGTGTCGCCGTCCGCACACAACTCCGTAGCTACAGCTACCTTCCCCCATTTGCCCCAGAGTATTAACTCTGGTAAACATTACCTAGAGGCTGGGTGACCCCATGAACCGCCCGGTTTAAAACATTGGCCTTGTGCTGCAGCGAGTCGCAGCTGGATTTGAAAGCGAGTCTTCTAAATGTTCATAAATAGAAAAACAACAGAAGCAAGCTTTCAAGCAGTTGACCCAGACAATCCATAAAATGCAGAAGCTTACTGTCCAGAGAAAGAATTAGACCCACACCAATAAATGAGCTACTATTTGCAGACGATCAGTGTCTCTTCTACACGGAGGAAAGTAAACTGTAAGACCATTTAAAAAGGTTAAGGTAAACATGCAGAAGAAATAAAATGAAAGTACATACGACTAAGACCAAAATAGTGCCGATCGGTAGAATTCATAGTCTGTTATATATAGGAATGACGTATACACACCGGAACCTACCAATCAAATACCTTTCTTAAATGTTTGTGTATTCTAGACAAAGCAATAAGGTCTTACTGTGTTCGTAAATTGTTGCTGTGATTGTTATTCGACATTTGCTTCGTTAATATAAATTTCTGTAACCTATGGTGCCATTTCAATGGGTTGAAATGAATTCTGTCCGTATTCCATAGTCGTGGATTTCAAGCTGTACGATAGACATGGCCAATGAGACACCTTTTTTTGGGGGTGCCGAGTTGACCATGTATCTTAGTGCACTTGTATTCATGGCGAGGCGCAGACGCCGTCTGGAGGTGACAGGTTCAATTCCCGGCACGGTAACTATAGCTTTCGATTTTTATGTTGTCTAGTGTGTTCTTCTATCTTTCTACTTCTTTCTATGAGTGCCGTTCACAATACTTTCTGTTACTTGATTAATTATATATACTGATGAATGGTACGTGTATGAAGTGAGTTAAAGAATTTAAATATACAGGAGGACTAGAGAATAGATCGGGAAATAGAAACAAGTGATATACCAACTGACACCTTTATTAAAGACATAGAAATATAAGAATGAGCTCTCTTAATATATATATATATATATATATATATATATATATATATATATATATATAAACAGCAAATTCATACAAAACTGTGCCACCATAGCAAGACTTGGACATTATCAAAGGCTAACCTGCGTAAAATTACCACTTGTGAAATTAGATGTCTGAAAAAAAAAGACACAAACTTAAACATCCTTAACAAAGTTAGAAATGATATCAGATCGACTGTAAAAACACCGCCATGCAGAAAATTAATTGATAAACAGAATATCAGATGGTTTGCTCATCTAGTAAGAATGCAGCCAGGACAACTAACAACGCAGGCACTTTACCTGAAAAGATCTAATGGGAAAGCAAGAGGTCGCCATAGGATAACATGGACTGATGACATTTAAGAACTTGTACATCAACACGGAATGACAACAGTCGTTGCTGCCCACCAAGCAATGGATAAAATGTTGTTTCTTCCTTCTGGAGAAGTGGACATTGATGATGAAGATGATGATAATGATGATGAAACAAACAGAAACTAACAATCTTAGAATGGACAATTCTAAAAGAATAACAAACTGGATAATGCAGTAAGGGAAATAAAAAAGTAAAATAAACGTTACTTTAATTGAAATAATGAAAATAAAATGTAGCGAATATGTGAAAACTAATACTGGTAATAACGGACAGAAACCATAGTATGCTTAGTTAATAAACAGGGAAAAAAACGGAGTACGGCTAGTGTTTGACCAAGAAGTGTCCATTTGAATATTTCAAATAAGTCTATCATGTATACAATCATTGGCAAACCAATCAATACATATCAATTTCAGTACAAGACAAGATCTTCATAGGAGATGCACAATTTATCAATGCGATAACATAACAGTAAAAGTGACCTATGAACAAGCCAGATTTCTTGAGTGTGTTATCATCAAATGCCAAAAAAAGTTTTAAAAAAAGCATACTAAGCTAAGTAGATGATTCAGCAGACACAGTGTTTCACACATCATGCGCTATTTGGGACTCAAAATATATAAATAACAAATACATGTGAATATATATATATATATATATAAAATGTTAGCATATCTATGGCCTAGTTTAATCAATCGTTTTATCTATAGTGACGGTGCGATAATGACGTCAGCAGTCACTTGCCATTAGAACACTTGTACAAGGCCCCATTTTATATGATACGAATTATCAGATGTGTGATACTGTAATAAATTATACTTTGGTATTTAGATATTAACGAAGTGTCCCATTGATAAGTAACTGACTGATATACTACACTACATCCAGAATTAAAAGTAAAAAACAAAGAGCGGGAAGGGGGTTACATGGAGAGAATGAAGAAGCATTGGCAAGAGGAGAAAAAAAAACCAAAAGAAATAAAGATTTGAAAAAAAAAGTGATGGTAGAAAAATGAAGAAAATAAAAGGGACACAAATTGATGAAGATGAAAGAAAGAAAGGTAGAATGAAAGAAAGACAAG